CAGCTGTTGCTGCTGCTGCTGCTGCTCCTGCTGTAGCGACAAACCTTCCTGCTGCAGCAAAAGGAGAACGAGGCCCAGTGCGAACTGTACCTACGGAGTAAGCAGCAGCAGCAGCAACAGCAACAGCAGCAGCAGCAGCAGCAGCAGCAGCAGCAAACCTCCAACATTAACACAATCTAATAAAGACTGAGCTGCTGCAGCGACCGTCCTATACTAAGTAGCTACGGCTGTTGTTGCTGCTACTGCTGCTACTGCTACTGTTGCTGCTGCTGCTGCTGCTGCTGCTGCCATACCAGGAATTGCTTCTGCTGCTCTTAGAGTTGCTGCTGCTGTTGCATGCCCTTGTGGTGCAGCAATAGGGAGGGCACCAAAGGGAAGAGAGACACCTCCTCCTTGCTGCTGCTGCTGCTCAGGCTGCAGCACCATTGCCGGTTGCTGCTGCTGCTGCTGTTGTTGTTGTTGTTGCTGCTGCTGCTGCATTGGTTCCTCCTCTTCCATCATAGGCTGCGGCTGCTGCTGCGGCTGCTGCTGCGGCTCCTGCTGCTGCAGCTGCTGCTGCTGCTGCGGCTCCTGCGGCTGCTGCTGCTGCAGCTGCGGCTGCTGCGGCTGCTGCGGCTGCTGTTGCGGTGGAGGCGGAGGCGGCAAACCCTCCAAGAAGGCGAACCTCCCTCCTCCCTGTTCTGCTGCTCTAGCAGCAACAGGCTGCTGCACCTCAGCCTGCTGCTGCTGCTGCTGTTGCTGTTGCTGTTGCTGCTGCTGCTGTTGGGGCTGGTCACTAACCGGCAGAGGCCACAGCTGCAGTCTGCTAAGCTGCTCCTGCTGCTGCTCCTGCTGCTGCTGCTGCTGCCTTGCCTGCTCGTCTCCCCACACCTGCTGCTCGAAGGGATTCTCAGACTCAGCAGACTCAAGCTCACCTACAACAGGTACAAGCACTTGCTGCTGCTGCTGCTGCTGCTGCTGCGGCTGCTGCTGCGGCTGCTGCTGCTGTTGCTGCACTGGTTCCTGCAGCAGCTGCTGCTGCTGCGGTTGCTGCTGCATCGGTGTTTGTGGGTGCGGTTGCTGCGGCCATCTCCATTGGACATAAGCCTCCAAGACCCATGGTAGCTGCTGCTGCTGCTGCGGCTCCTGCTGCGGCTCCTGCTGCGGCTGCTGCTGTTGCTGCGGCGGCTGCTGTTGCTGCTGCTGAAGGGGGTTGGCAAGAGGCAGCTGGAGGGACCCAGAAGGGCCCTGAGGCTGCTGCTCTTGCTGCTGCTGCTGCTCTTCTAGCTGCTGCTCCCTTGGCTCCTGCTGCATGCCCTCCCCTGTCTCCTCATGCTGCGATGATGGGGACGGAGACACCAGAGGCCACGTGTCTGCAGCAGCAGCAGCAGAAGAAGCTTGTATTCTTTGCTGCAGTTCATCTGTTGCTGCTGCTGCTTCTGCTGCTGCTGTTGGTGCTGCTTCTGCTGCTGCTGTTGGTGCTGCTTCTGCTGCTGCCTCCGTAGCAGCACTGGCAGCAGACTGTTCCTCTGGTGGTGGCGACATTGGCTCAAACCCTCCTGCTGCTGTGAGCTGTTCTTGCTGCTGCTGTTGCTGCTGCTGCTGCTGCTGCTGCTGCAGCTGAAGTTGCCGCTGCTGCTGCTTCTCCTGCTGCTGTATATGCGCCTGCTGCAGGTATGGACGATGGCTAGCAGCAATTAGCTGCAGCCTCCACAGAGGTCCTTGCTGCTGCTGCCACCTCTTCTCCATCTGCTGCTGCCGCTGCTGCTGCTGGCTGACTGCCGGTCTATCAATGCATGCAGTAAGTGAGTCCATGTCGCTAAGGGAAGAGAGGGAAGCAGAGCAGCTGCTCAGGTAACATTGGCTGCAGCAGCAGCAGTAGCAGCAGCAACACAAGCAGCAGCAGCAGCAGCAGCAGCAGCAGCAGCAGCAGTCAGAGAAATACCTGAAGGAGCGTTGCTGCAGTTAAAGTCCAGCAGACATTGTACAAAGACACACAGACAGCAGCAGCAGCAGCAGCAGCAGCAGCAGCAGCAGCAGCAACAGCAGCAGCAGAAACGCACGAAGAAACGACAGGCACACAGAGACAGACAAACACACACAGCAGCAGCAACAGCAGCAACAATAGCAGCAGCAGCCACAGCAATAGCAGCAGCAACAACAAGGGAGAGCAGAAAACACTAAGACGGGGCTGCTGCTGCAGCTGCTTACCGCTCTGTATGTTGCTGTTGCATGTCTTGCTGCTGTTGCTGCTGGTGGTGGTACATGCCTAGATGTTGCTGCTGCTGCTGCTCCTGCAGCAAGATAATGCTGCCTGCCTGTCGTAGATTTTGCTGCACTTGCTGCACTAACTGCAGCAAAACTTTTCTTTCTTTATCTACTAATAGATAAGGAAGGGAGAGAGGCAGCAGCCGCTGCCGCTGCTGCTGCTGCCGCCGCAGCAAATGCTGCAGCAGCAAACCTAAGAAACGCAACTCCTGCAGCAGCAAAGGCTCACGATAACAATCATCTTCTGCTGCTG